CCACCAATAGAGCAACCCGATATAGACAACTAACAAGTGGCACTCCAGGAGTTAAAGTAAAAAACAAAAGAAACGAGAAGACATTTAAACAAGCCCCAGCCTAGGGAATCTGGAAAGATGAGTTATTCAGGCAGTCAGTGAACCTTTGGGCACTAAACTGAGAAGATCCATTTCCAGAAGGGCAAGGTGTTAGAGGAGACCCAGGTAGTTTTGATTCAGAAGATGGAACTTGAGGGAGGTTTGGAGAGAGTCTTATATTGACTGATTCAACAGTAAGCATTGAGGTCCTGTGTCCTGGCCTGTGGGTAAGTCCACGGAGACCCTAGAGGGGCAGTGGGGATGAAAGGGGACAAGAGACGCAAAGAATGGAGACAGGACAGAAGTCCGATCAAGTCTCATTTGTTCAAGGAAAAAGTAACAAAAATATAGGGTATTGGGGGAGGAGGGAGTTGGGTTCTGAGATGTCAGCAGGTAACTTAGCAACAGTGGCAAGACTGAGGGTTCTAGGTTAAATCAAATTTTCAAATTTCCCACATGCGGGCTCATAAGCATAATCCCTGAAAAGGCCAAACAAGCTAGGCAAGGTGCTGCTTAACTACCAAACTTAACTCCTAGAGGGGGTTAAGGTGGTGCGGCCTGCAGATATAAGGTGGCAGCCAATTACAGGGCTTCCCACAGTCCCCGTGTGAACTTGGGAATACAGTGGTACAATAGATAAGGTGCCTGTTCCCAGAGAACTGACTGCTGTCAAGGGGAGATAGTTAATGCACCAGATGAATAAAGGAAATTTGCATGGAAAATAAAAGTTCTGAAGCCTCTGATACAGGGTTCCTTCAGAGTAGGTGGTCAAGGAAAGCTTCCCTAAACAAGTGACACAAGAAGTTGTGCTACGATCCGTGGGCAGAGAATGGCAGCACAAGAAGCTGCTGGTACAGAGATTTGAGGTGGTGATGCGCTTGACCTGCAGGAGTAACTGAGAGATGGCTTCTGTGACTTGGGTGGAGCCAGTGAGCAGGAGACAGTGGCCAGCTGAGTCAGGGCCAGACAGGCCCTAGACTGGCAGGGATGGTAAGCAACTCTAGGTGCTGGAATGGTGCTGAGGCAGTGTGGGTTAGCTCAGGGTCTCTCTGTTTCCAGAAGCTCAGGCAGCTTGCCAGTCTTTATAGCAAATGTTTCACCAAAGCACTGTGTGGTGACCACAGTGTCCCCTGAAGACATGATCCCTGCCTTGTGTGCTTCCTTCTGTAGCCAGGGCAGTGGTGGACCCAGGGGCCTGAGTCGAGTTCTCCTCTCCACTGAGCTGTACAACTGGGCCGCAACGGAACTGATCTTTTAGGAGGCAGCCACGGTGAAGTCAGACATCTACAGCTTTTCCCTGATCACATGAGAGATTTTAACTGGTGATCAAATTAACCAAGCCTTAAATTTTCGTTGTTTTTCTGAAAATGCAGGATTATAGGAGATTTTTGGTTTTAGTGTTTGAGACAGGCTGTCCTTAAATTGTGCAGATTGGCCTTGGCCTCAAACTCGTGATTGTCCTATGTCAGCTCTCTGAGTACTAGGATTACAGGGCTGTGCCACTCCACCTTGCTTAGGAGATTTGTTCTAGGATGCTTCTTTGTGTTTATGGAAAATATAAGATGGCGATCTGGCAGAAATCTTTGTTGTACCTGTACTTTAAGACTCAGCAAAGCGCATCCATCTGCTTGTTAATGGTAATGCATGCAAATATATGTAATTGCTTTTCCTCATGCTCAGGCTAAATGCAGGGCTTTGGGAATTCTAGGGAAGTGCTGTACCACTGACTACATTGTTTGGTTCCCAAGCACCTTGTGTGTGTGTGTCTTTTAGTCCAGGCTGGCCTTAAATTCACCTTGCAGCCCAGGCTGGCCTGGAACTCATAGAGATCCTCCTGCCTCTACTTCCTGAGTGCTGGGATTACAGGTATCTGTCACCATGCCTGGCCTCCAAGCAATGATTTTTAAATTGGAGAGTTAATATTTAACAATCTGTGTGACTTTTCTTTCTTTTTTTTTTGTCTTTTTTGAAACAGGATCTTGCTATGCAGTTCAGGCTGGCCTTGAGCTCACTTTGTAGCCCAGGCTGGTCTCGAACTCGCAGTAATCCTCCCACCTCAGCCTCCTGAGTGCTGGGATTACAGGCGTGAGCCACTATGCCTGGCTCATGACTTTTCACTAAGCTCAGTTTTTTAGTTTTTTGAGGCAGGGTCTCACTATGTAGTTAAAGCTGACTTTGAACTCACTATACCCCAGGCTGTCCTCGAGCTTGTGGTGATCCTCCTGCCTCAGCCTTCCAAATGCTGGGATTAGGGTTGTATGTCACTATGCCCAGCTTCTAAGCATTTTTAAATGAGGATAAAGTTGGGTTCTGAAAACTAAATATAAAATTGAATATAGGTAGGGTCCCATAGACCCTACATGTCTCTTCATGCAAGCCTGTTGAGACTTACAGGTCTTTAATGTGAAGTAGTCACATATGTGAGGACCGGAGAGCTTCTTTAAGAGAGGAACAGAAGGACTCCACATGTAGCTTAATGGTAGAATACTTTCCTATGTAGTATGTGCAAGACCTTGGGTTCTACCCCCAGCACCACAAAAAACAAAAGTTACTTAACATAAAAGAGCTACAACACACAACCCACACATACCTACACACAGTGAGTGAAGGCATATTCACATGAGAAGTAAATAAGCATCACCTCCCTTTCCTGGTATTTGTGGTCTCGGAGACAACACTGCACCTGGCATGAGGTGAATGTGTTGGGGTACTCAGCTGAATACCATGAAGCATGTCTGGGGCCCCAAGGCTGCCAGAGGGAGAGCTTGTATACACACGATATGGGTAATACTATTTCCTGTCCCTCTGGCAGAGTTTTTCTTGGTAAATAAATGAAGTGACTTCTCTTGTATTGTTGGTTTTTTTCCAAATCTATTTTATTTCAAGAATAAAAAAGAAAAGAAGTGGAGAAAGAGGAAGATGAGGAGGAGGAGGAGAAAGACAAACTACAACAAAATTTCAAAACGCATCAACCAGGGGGCAACAATGGTACCGTACTTCATTGTGCATTGTCATCCCCAGATGGCTTCTCATTTGTGACTGGCCTTCCAGATAGTTTTATTTCAGAAAAAAAAATTAATGTGTAGCTGGGGATTTAGCTCAGCGGCACAGTGCTTGCCTGGTAAGTGCGAGGTCATGAGTTCGATTACTGGTACCAAAGAAAACAAAGCAAAACACTAATATATAAAGGGGCTGAGTGACTTGACTGTGGCTGCACAATTGCATCTGGTTTCTCACAGTTGCTCCTTCCTCCTTACAGATGATGTGCCCTGGAATGACTTAGATGGCTCAGTTATTAAGGAAGCTATCCTCTTGGGAAACTTTTTAGAAGCTGATGCCAGGCTTCCAAAATCTTGCTATGATGTTGTTAAGTCAGGTGTCCAAGTCAAGCAGAAAAACAGAATTATGAGTCTTGAAGATACCCAGTATATTCTGCAGGATGACTTAAAGGCAAGCCCTGAAGTACCTGTGAGTTTGGTTCTACTTAGCCATCTTGGAAGAGTAGGCATTGAGAGGCCAAAAGGAATCTGGAGATCAAGCCGTGGAAAGCCCTGGAAATCCTCATTTTACATTACTTGTGTGTTGCTGAGAAAGCCTAACTGCTTAACACAGTGTAAGTAGTAAGGACGGAGGGGTGGAGCTGAGGATGTTAGCACATAGTGGGTAGGGGTGCTGTAGGCACACAGTGGGCATGCAGTGAATGGTAGCTATTACTGCTTTCATGGTATTGGGATAGCAATGAAGTAGTTAATAAGGACTACGGGGTATCCACCAAGAAGAGGGAGCTTATCTGATAGGTAGCTGGTTTCTACCAGTGACAGTCAGGAGATTGCAGATACGCCTTTGACAACATTTCCCGTGTCACAGGAGAACACTGGAGCACAGAGAACCCAGCCAATGGAGAGCCCCAGGGTGCAGAGAAGTGAACCCTATCCTGGTGTCAGTATCTATCTAGGACTAACTTCAGAACATCGAAAGGTGGGTGTAGACTTGGAAATTAAAGAGCTAAAGGAATCAGGTATGGCCTGGACTCACAGGCTAAGCATCACTTTAACACTAGTGTATTTTGAGAATCACATGAACTACCGTTAATCATCTACTTTAAACTGTACATGCTGGGAAGATACGGGATACTTTAGGGCAAAATCAAGATCCTTAAATTACTAAGTTAAATCTTTTGGGTTTTGTAAATACCTGGCTTGGATGCAGAGCTAAGTAGTAACAATGAATTTATTTATAGTGTGATTGCTTGCTTCTTTCTTTCTTTTTTTCTTCCATCCATCCATCCATCCATCCATCCATCCATGCTTCCTTTATCTTTCTAAAATTTTTTTTTTATTTTTTGACATCCTTTAGCTATGTAGCTTTGTCTAGCCTTAAACTGTATATAGCCCAGGCTACGTAGAGACTTATAGGGTTTAAAGTAAGCATCACTGACTCCAAAGAAGTTGAAGAATACATTATTATCTTGGGACATGTGATTTCTAGAAAATTCAATGAAATGAATTGACATTAGCAGAAATACCTGGAGAGGACAGTGTTTGTGTTCACTGGGTTTTAAATTTATGTAAAATACATTTTATTTTACATATATGAAATTTAAAAAGATGCAGTAAATGTGTTTAGTTTTAACATTTAAAAAAGTTGGCATAATGCCAGGCATGGTGACAAACACCTTTAATCTCAGCACCTGGGAGGCTGAGGCAGGAGGATTGTTTGCAGTTCAAGGTGCCCCTGGACTACATAGTGAGACCCTGTCTCAAAAAAAACAAGCCTCCCCAACTGTCATAACATTGTATGTGTTTACTGGGTATAACATGATGCTGTGAAGCATATATTAGTTGTGGAGTAGTTAATCTGTGTAATTAAAAGTCACACTGTTCGCACAGTTAACATTTTGTGCTACAGCGTCCACTTCATTTTTCTTTTCTTTTCTTTTTTTTTTTTTTGGTCTTTTTCCTTTTCATCGGTACCAGGGATCGAACTCACGACTGCCTGCTTGCAGGGCAGGCGCTTATGCCACTGAGCTAAATCCCCAGCCCCTCATTTTTCAAGACTACTGGTCACCTTGCTGAAAGTCGGTCTCTGGAGTTTATTCCTGTTGAGCTGTTGAACTCTTTGGAGCTGTAGTTATACATGGTTTGAGCAGCCTTCCCCTCTGCAGCTCCTCACTACCTCACATCTGCTCAGCATCACCTCATCGTCACCATTCTGCGACTTTACAGTATTAGTGTTCTTCAACTCCACAGATAAGTAAGATCACGCGGTATTTCTCTTTCAGTGTCTGGCCATTTCACTTACTTATTTCCTTCAGCTCATCCCATCTTGTCCCAAAGTCCCATGTTTTATTCTTTCTATGTCTAAATAGTATCCCAGTGTATGTATCTCTGTGTGTGTGTGTGTAAATATCTCACATTTTCTTTATTCAGTTTTTAAAATTTAAAAAAGTATTTTATCCACAGCTCTTTTAATTGTTTATTTATTGTTTGATTATTTTTCTAAGTTTTGTTTGGTGTTTTGTGGCACCGGGAATCAATCTGAGCAACTTGTGCTTACCAGGCAGGCGCTGATGCCACTGAGATGCATCCCCCGCAGTTTTTGATGGACACCTAAGTTGATTCCATATCTTGACTATCTTGGATAAAAGTGATGCACTCAACACGGGAGCGCAGCTGTCTCCTCAAAGTAGCTTTTTGTTAGGTGTACCCTGTCGCATGCACCCTGGATCATAGTAGTAGTTCTGCTTTTAATTTTTTTTCGAGACAGGCTCTTGATATGTTGCCAGCCTGGTTTCTGTCTCCTGAGTTCAAGTGGTCCTGCTGCCATCACCTCCTAAGTAGCTGAGACTAGAGATAGATACTACCATGCTCCACTTATGATGATGATTGTTATTTTTTGAGGAATCTTTGTCTTATTTTCCCTAATGGCAATAGTCCTTTAGATTCCTGCTGATTATAAGGATTTGTTTGTATCCACAGCCTTGAAAACACTTGTTACCCTTCTAAAATGCTTTATAAGATAGATTAGTATATCAATTTTGTTTTTTCTTTTTTGTTCATAGATGACAACACTAATCCACAGCTGTGAAGCTAGTCCTGGACCCTCCCCACATTGGTCACTAAGACTAGTGACAAAAGTTTGCTCAGTCAATTAGAACAGAGTATTTTACCCTGATTAGGGGATTTACGAAGAAACAGCTAGCTGGCATTGGAGGGTTTGGCACTCATGCTATTGACAGAGCAGCTGGGAGTGACATTGGAGGAATGGGATACAAAGAAACACTGTACCTGTTCATCTTCCCGCTCTTTCTCCAAAGAACAGAAAACACCAAATAAGTTTAGCATTTTGCTACCTGCTTATTTATACTTTTTAATATCCTTTTAAAAAATTACTGGGAGGGGCTGGGGATTTAGCTCAGCGGCATAAGCACCTGCCTTGCAAGCAGGCGGTCGTGAGTTTGATCTCCAGTACCGATAAAATAGGAAAAGACAAAAAAAAAAAAAAAAAAATTACTGGGATCCAGGGATTTAGCTCAGCAGCACGAACACCTGCCTGGCAAGCTCGAGGTCATGAGTTAGATCCCTGGTACCAAAAACAACAACAAAAAATTACAGGGTTGGGGATTTAGTTCAGTGGGCAGCACCTGCCTGGCAAGCATGAGGTCCTGAGCTCAATTCCTGTGTCCTCCCCCAAAATAAATAATAAAATACCAGTAAATATATGTATAGGCAATTTTATATCTTGATTTTCCACTTTCCTTGAGAATGTATTATCCCATGTAACTTTAGAAAATTTTAATATGACATTTTTATTTTATCAAATTATTTATTATTTTAAAAGTTTTTTAGTTTAAAAAAATTTATTTTAAAGAGAAAAAACAATGCAAAATTTGAAAACAGGATAGGAGAGTAACAATGGTTCATTTACTGCATATTGTTATCTTCAAAGTAGTTGCCCATATTACAAGATATAGGTATGAAAAATTGGTCAAACAATATAGGCACAAACCTTTCTTTTCAATAACCTAATAGGAATTAGTAATATTGTTATCTTAACTGTCTTGTATGTATGTATGTATGAATGTATGTATGTGTTTTTCCTTTTCTTTGTTCTCTTCTTTCTCCCATCCCAATTTTATTTTCCTTTTGAACAGTTTCTTTCCATTTCACAGTACCTATTGTACATTTTGGATCCTACTTATTCTTTCTGCTTCAGAGAGCTAAGTATTAAAACAGAAACATTAAAGCTATTGGAAAAAAAATCAGGTAGAAATCTTTTCTTTTCTTTCTCTCTCTCTCTTTTTTTTTTTACCAGGGATCAAACTCGTGACCTGGTGCTTGCCGGGCAGGCACTTGTGCTGCTGAGCTATATCCCTGGCCCGAAATTTTAAAGACATAGGTGTAGGCAGAGAGTTCATGAACAAAACTCAAACTGCACAGGAGGTACTTCAAATAATCAACAATGGGGATCTCATCTTATTTAAAAGCTTTTGCACATAAAAAAAAAAATCATCACCAGCAGAGTGAAAGACAGCTCACAAAATGGGGAAAAATGTTAGCCAACTGACCTTCCGACAGAGGACTTATGTCTGTAATCTATAAAGGACTGAAAAAAGTCAGACCCTCAGATTTCAAAGGTCCAATCCAAAAATGGACATCTGTGTGCTTCTTAGATTGAAGAACAAATAGCAAATAAATATATGAAAAAATGATAAACATCATTGGTTGTTTGAGAGATGCAGATTATTCCATGTAATTTTTTAAAACCCTGTAAACTTGGTTTTTAAATTTTACTTTACAGAGAAAAAATTTGTATTTTAAACAGAAGTAAAAATTTCAAAACAAGATACTGTGATATATATTTTTCAATTTTTATTCTTTTGCTTTTCGCTTCCTTCTTTTCTCTTTTCCCCTTCCCAGTTTCTCTTTCCTTTTGAATAGTTTCTTGGCATTTCACACCATCTGTTGTACACTGTGGATCTTATTTATTCTTTCAGTTTCTCACACTAGGGAGATAATAAGATGTTTCCATGTGTGAGTCTGATTTATTTTATGAGTACGGTCTCGAGTTGCATCCATTTACCTTTTTCTTTTTTAACTTTAAATGTAGTAAACTCAGAAAAACAAGACAGAACAAGGCTAATCAAGACAATGCAGCAAAATTGGTATAAAACTTCAGAGCAGGATGCCAGGAAAACAATGATAGTATATCTTATCTTCACAATAGTTGTCCTTTCCATCAGGTATAGCAAAATTAAACCAAAAACAAAACACTATAAAAGCACAATAAAAATATTGAATAAAGCAAAACAATCAGACTAAAGCTAAACAATGAAAACAATATTAGACTTCAAAGACAAGATAGAAGGAAATCCCCCATATTTGCTATATTGCATACTGTTACCCACTCAAGAAAAGCTGAGACCACTGGCCCCAGGCCTGCAAAATCAACTAAAGAGTACAAGCATGTAGTTGCTTTCTCTACCTCAGTTGCTATCAACTCAGGCTGTCCTGGAAACCATCCAGCTGCTAACGGGGGTGGGAATGGAGGGTGGACACTGTGTGACTCTCAGCTCAGGTGCTGGTAGACTCAGGGAGGTGCTGTGTTTTCTTTCCCTGGAATGCCTGTGGCTGGCATAGCTTATCCGGAAGCCTGGCTGGTTGATTTCTTGGTTGGTCCCCCAAGTCCCAGCATGGTGGATTCTCGAGAGATGCTGACTTTTTTCTCCGTGGAGTGCATGTGCTTGCACAGCTTCACATCCATTTACCTTTACAAAATCTCCAGTTTATCTTCCTTTTTTGCTGAAAAGTACTCCATTGTACAAAACAATCATGTCTTTTTTATCCATTCCTTGGTTGATGGGCATTTGGGTTGTTTCTAAGATTTAGCTTGTAAACTTTGAAATTGTTAGGTTTGAATTTCAGTTTGTTTCTTTTTATATTCTGTGAGGAACAAGGTTACAATGACTTACACCTAATGTTTTTCCTGCATTTTGAATTACTTCCTTAAGATGGATTCCCAGAAGCAGAGTTACTAGGTCCAAAGGTTTGGTCATTTTAAACCTTCTTCTTCTTCTTCTTCTTCTTCTTCTTCTTCTTCTTCTTCTTCTTCTTCTTCTTCTTCTTCTTCTTCTTCTTCTTCTTCTTCTTCCTCCTCCTCCTCCTCCTCCTCCTCCTCCTCCTCCTCTTCCTGTTCCTCTCCTCTTCCTCCTCCTCCTCCTCTTCTTCTTCTCCTCCTCCTCCTTCTTCTCCCCCTCCTCCTCCCCCTCCCCCTGCCCTCCTCCTCCTCCCCCTCCTCTCCCTCCCCCCTGCCCTCCTCCTCCTCCTCCTCCTCCTTCTTCTTCCTGGGGTTTGGACTCAGGGTCCTCCGCATGCTAGCCAAGCACTCTACCACTAAGCTACAACCTCAGCCCTTAAAGTTTTTTTTTTGGTACCAGGTCTAAAAATTCTTGATAGTTGTTGCCAAAGAGCTCTTTAAACAAGCTGATTAAGCTGACCTCACTGCTTTCCAGTTCTGCTGAGAGAGTGGTACATTATTGATGATGGGGAGATCATATCTGTACCACACATCACAGTTTTGAAGAATTCAGTTTGTGTGTTATAAAATTATAGGGTATATAGAGGAAATCACTTGTTACGTGGTTAAAAATACCAGCTCAAGACAGATTGATCTGCCAAAATCAGACAGCTAACCCAGCAAGTCAGGGTCCAGAACTCAGTAAGTTCTCAGAATATTCTTCACAGTTCTGGTGCCTCATGACTGTCTGCACAAATGTTAGTTACTGTCACTAATACGCAGGTGGACCTGTTACCAGAGAAGTCCGATGGAAGAGAAGGAACAGAACTTTTACCTAAACCACCATCTGTGTCTGAGACAACTACTGAGGGAATCAGACTCCTCTATCTGGTGAAGCTGTATTTCAATTGAAGATTTCTTCTATTTCTGAAAATTTCCCAAGAAACAATTGTAATCATAAAATCTGAACTTGGAAACTTTGAAAACCGTAAGAAATCTTCTAACCCAGTCTTGGTTGCACAGTCTCAGCCAGTACATTGGCCAAAGTCGCAGAAGCAAGGAGTGCGGTGTTCTGGGTTCCTTAATTCTCTACAGGGCTTTAGCAGGTAAGGAACCTTGCAGTCTGGCCCCCTCTGGTGGCAGACAGGAGCCAGTGCAAGCCCAAGAATGGGTCAGAGTGTCCTGGGATGGTTCTGGGTGGGCTATGAGTTTTGTTTGGAACTTGAACAAACTTACATATTTGTGTCCGCCGTGCTCTAAGTCCTCTACCTAAAAAATCTGTGGAATTTAGGATCAGTGTGGGATATCTGAGACTTCTTTAAAATATGAAGTCAGGAAATGTGGAGAGATACACTTACACTGGAAAAGTGAGTATGAAGTAATGGGTTTGTTAGACCAGATGAAATTTACAGCACATTTCTTAGCTGCCACATACACACAGAGTCTGTTTGTGTTTCTGTGTCTCTCATGATGGTAAGGTTCAAACTGAGGGCCTTATGCACACTGACCAACTGCTTTTCCACTGAGCTACACCCACAGCCCCTGATGGATATCCTTAAGTGAATATCCTCTAGTTCACTCTTTAGAAAAATTAAAAAAAATTTTTTTTGGTACCAGGGATCAAACTCACGACCTTGCACTTGTCAGGAAGGCACTTATGCTGTTGAGATGAATCCCCAGCCTTGTATTCACTCTTTAAAACCTTAGCACTATCTTCCTACCTTTCTCCTTTAAGATAATTCCATATTAGAAACAAGGCTTTTCTGACTGCAGAGTACATAAGGGAAATGCTTTCTTTCATTGTGAGACCTTACGGGAAATATTTCTATTTTATACATATGTACATATGTACACACATGTATGCAAGCATATGTTCCATAACAGGCACAATAAGACAATATACTGCCAGGCACAGTGGTGTGTGCCTGGAGCCATAACTACTCAGTAGGCTGAAGTTAGAGGATCATGAGCCCATGAGTTTGAGACCAGTCTGAACAACACAACAAAACCATTTAAAAATACACAATATAGTTATTAGATATATAAAGTTCATTAAAGTACAGTCACTGTCACATATTGTATGAACGTTATTCTTTGGTATCTGTTTTATCTTATAAGAGTAAAGGATACAATGTCTGCAGTGGTGGTGGTGGTAGACTAGAGACTAGCCCTGAGCTACATCTCCTGCCCTTGTGAATGTTTATTTTGTGACAAGGTCTTGCTAAGTAACTAAATTTCCCAGACTGTGTTCTAAATTACAGATCTCCTTACTCATCCAAATACAGTATCTGTTTTTTGGGGACTGTGATCTTAGCAGAAGTGTGGAACATTTGAAATGAAAACAGGCATATATGGACATACCCCCAAAGTACGAGCTCAGTGGTCTAGAAAGACTCGGCAAATTCAAATCAAACCCATTTTGGTAACTGCTAGTTCTGGGAATTTCAGGTGTTCTTTATTTTTGTTCAGTCACCAAGAGCATGCACCTGCAAGTTTTCTGCTGAAACATCTGGAATGCAGCAGCAAAGGCTGTTTTAGGGGATAACTAACTGGGATGTCTTTCCTGTTCTGTCATCAGGTCTCCCTTGCCCTCCCCATCAGGCCAAACAGGGCAAGCTAAGGAAGAGGCAGCTTGCAAAGGCAACTGTTGTTACAGTGTGAGGCAGAGTGGGGTCACACAGTGATAGGATGACAGCTGTGTTTCCAGGTTCACAGTAACCGTTCAAGGTTGTTTCCTCTTGTGCACAGCGGAGGTGAAGGCCGAGAAGGCAGCTAGTGGGGAGCTCCCAGTCCTTCCTTGGCACCCGCAGAGCAGTTTGACTTTGAACAGTGGAGGCTGTCAGCAGGTCAGTCCCTTGTTGCGGCCCCCTACTAGGGGCCCTGAAAAGATGGGCTGGCAGCAAGGTGTAGAGTTTCACAGGGAGAAGGAGGAGTCAGGAGGATATGATGTCAGCTTGGTGAAAGTGGACAGCTGTGGTCAGGACAGTGACAGTGAGAAATGTGGCAGACAGCCTGGGCCACAAAGCTTTGCTGGTAAGGTAACTTGGGGAAATTGGGTTGAGTGAATGCTAACAAGTTATATCAGCTCCCAAAACTGTGTTAATTTTCTGGCATCTCTTTTCTTTTCTTTCTTTCCTTTTTAAAATTTATTTTTATTTTCTTTAGCTTTTTGAGACTGTGTCTTGCTGTGTGGTTCAGGCTGGCCTCGATGTCCCTGTGGAGCAGCACAGGCGCCTCCAACTCTCAGTGACCCTTTTGCCTCATGGCGTATTTCTTTTGCTTGATCCTCTCTCCTTTCCTACCTTTTCTGGGAATTTGAATGCCAAGGGAAGCAGCATGCCTTTTATATCGTGTAGTGGTTCTTAGGTGAATAGATTTTCAGAGATTCACAAATTTGTCCGTTACTTAAAATCCCTGCATTGAAAGAAAGTAAGATAAAGTTCATGTCCTGGTCATGGTCCTGGGTGAAACCTGGCAAAGAATCAAGCCTTTCTTACCTAAGAGTGGAGACAGGCCATCAGTGCCTACTGCTGTTTGTTTCTTGGCATTATATTCTAGGCTAGAGATAGATCCACTGGGTCTATTCAAGAGGAATCCAGAGAAGGTTGGTATTAACCATCCTCAGTTTACAGATTTACAGGTTACAACTGAAGAGTACATTTTCATCTGATAATTTGCTCTAAGGATAATGGGGATATCATTGAGCCTCCCCCCACCAAAAAAAAAAGAGACATCTATAGTAATCATTTATCTTAGGCAGAAAATCTGGTGTGATTGATTTGATCTTTAGAATCTGTTCCTCATCTAGCGTCACTCTGGAGTGATGGCT